GGCAACAAGGGTTGGAGCAGAGCCAGGCGGCAGCCTGGAGCCTGGAACTCCATCCAGGGTTTCCACAAGGGTGGCAGAAGCCCAAGCATTGGGCCTTTTTCCTCTTTCCCAGGCGCTCTAGAGGGGAGCACTCTGATATGGGATGCAGGCTGCAGCCTAGCTTGCTACTCCACAACACTGGCTCCACTGCTTCATTTTAATTCTAAGATAGGTGACACTTCATTTTCATATGCAGATATGTGACACTGGCATTTCATATGAACCCTGGTTTGAGGCCCAGCTGTTCGACTTCCAATCCAGCTCCTTGATAATCTGCCTGGAAAAGCAGCAGCAGATGGCCTGGGTACTTGACCCCCTGCCACCCACGTGGGAGATCCAGATGTAATTCCAGGCTCCTGGCTTTGACCTGACCCCGGCTGTTTTGGCTATTTGAGTAGTGAACCAGCAGATGGAAGATCTTTCTGTCTCTCTCCCTGTCTCTCTCTCTCTAACTCTTTAACTCTACCTTTCGTATAAATAAATCTTTTTAAAAATTACGAAGATATCTGCTCCAGGAGGAGCTAAAGCCTTTTTTTTTTTTTTAAGATTTATTTATTTATTTGAAAGGCAGAGTTGCAGAGAAGCAGAGGCAGAGAGAGAGAGAGGTCGTCCATCTGATGGTGCACTTCCCAGATGGCTGCAACAGCTGGAACCGGGCCAATCCGAAGCCAGGAGCAGGTGCAGGGGCCCAAGCACTTGGGCTATCTTCTACTGCTTTCCCAGGCCACAGCAGAGAGCTGGATCGGAAGTAGAGCAGCCAGGACTTGAACCAGCGCCCATATGGGATGCTGGCGCTGCAGGCAACGGCTCTACTCGCTACACCACAGCGCTGGCACCTTAAGCCTTCTTACCATCACGTGTAACCTGTGTGAGAACGTGTTTTTTTTTTTTTTTTTTTTTTTTACAGGCAGAGTTAGACAGAGACAGAGAGAAAGGCCTTCTTTCCCTTGGTTCACCCCCCAAATGGCCGCCATGGCCAGCGCGCTGCGCCTATCTGAAGCCAGGAGCCAGGTGCTTCCTCCTGGTCTCCTATGCAGGTGCCGGGCCCAAGCACTTGGGCCATCCTCCACTGCACTCTGGGGCCACAGCAGAGAGCTGGACTGGAAGAGGAGCAACCGGGGTGCTGGCGCCACAGGCGGAGGATTAGCCTAGTGAGCCACGGCGCTGGCCAGGAACATGTTCTAAACTGGGCCAGCACGAGCTTGTGCCTGCCCTTACATGTGATGGCGGGAACTTTCCCTCTGATAGATTGATTTCCCCTAAAAAGAAAAGATGCACATTTACCCCTGCTCTTGGAGTCAGGGCTTTGGGAATGAATCCTTGTGCTCTCTTGATTTGCTGCAAATACATTACTTTGTGAGACAGCTTCTCTGGCACATTTCCTTTTCCTTTTCTTTCTTTCTTTCTTTCTTTCTTTCCTTTCTTCCTGTAATGAGTAGGGGAAAAACAGAGAGGAGGCGTTTTCTTTTTTGGTGGTTCCCCCCCAAATGGCCCCAGGGCCGGGCTGGCCCAATCCGAGCAAGAGAGCAGGTGCTTCCTCTTTGTCTCTCATGCGGGTGCGGGGCCAAAGCATCTGGGGCAATCCTCAAGTGGACTCCCTGGCAAACAAGAGAGTTGAATTGGAGAAGGGCAACGGGGCTAGAACCTGGCGCCCATATGGGATGCCAGTGCCGCAGACTGAGGATTAACCAAGTGAGCCACGGCGCCGGCCCCCTGGCACATTTCTTAGTACTCACCAGGAAGTGAACTCACAACTTCGGTGAGTACCACAAGGACTTGATTTCAGTTTTATAGACAGAGAAGAGCTGGCCAGCTAGGCTAATCCTCTGCCTGCGGCGCCAGCACCCCAGGTTCTAGTCCCAGTTGGGGAATCAGATTCTGTCCCAGCTGCTCCTCTTCCAGTCCAGCTCTCTGCCGTGGCCCGAGAAAGCAGTGGAGGATGGCCCAAGTGCTTGGGTCCCTGCGCCTGCATGGGAGACCGGGAGGAAGCACCCGGCTCCTGGCTTTGGATCACGCCGGCCGTGGCGGCCATTAGGAGAGTGAACCAACAGAAGGAAGACCTTTCTCTCTGTCCCTCTCACTGTCTATAACTCTCTCTCTGTCTCTCTCACTGTCTAACTCTGCCTGTCCAAAAAATAAATAAATAAATAGAGAAGAGCTGAAGAAAGCAGAAACAAAAAACACCCTGGGGGGCCGTGGAGGACCGGTACTGTGGCATGGTGGGTAAAGCTGCCGCCTATGGTGTGAGCATCCCATGTGGGCTCCGGTTCGAGACCCAGCTGCTCCACCTCCGATCAGCTCTCTGCTATGGCCTGGGATAGCAGTAGAAGATGGCCCAGGTCCTTGGGCCCCTGCACCACTTGGGAGACCCGGAAGAAGCTCCTGGCTCCTGGCTCACAATGGCCAGAGCTGTGCCAATCAGGAGCCAGGAGCTTTTTGTGGGTCTCCCACGTGGGCCATCCTCCACTGCTTTCCCAGGCCATAACAGGGAGCTTGATCGGAGCTGGAGCAGCCGGGACTCACCAAGTGCCCATATGGGATGCCAGCACTGCAAGGCTTTACCCACTACGCCACAGTGCTGGCCCTTAGGTTCCCTTTCTGTAAGGGACTTCATTATGATGCCAATTGAAATTGGCCTGTTTGGGTTTTCATCCCCCTCCTGGTTTCTTAGAAGACCAGTTTCAGTTTGGTGATGATGACGTTTAGTATGAGTGACCCTGTTTTGATCTGGTGTCTCGGGACCCTGCGTGGGGACCTTAATCCAAAACATTGGCCTTCTGTGATTTAACGCAGAAACACCTTTATGTATGTGTATGTTTCTCTCTTGCTAGACTGTACAGCCATAACTCTATTTAACCTAACAAATAAGAGTTCAGCATTCCCTCAAGTTTTACTCTCACTGCCCCCCATGCAGAGTAACCTGTAACTTCACACATGTCAGTCTTCTTCCTGCCTTTCTCACTCTCCAGTTAGCTTCCTCGGTCTCCTCTCACCTGTTCCAGTCATTATCTCATCTTTCCAGAATCATCAGCTTCCTCCTTCCTCTCCATCACATTAACATTCTCCTCTCTCGTCTGTACAAAAAAAAGAAAGTTCTTCCTCACAGCCCCCACAGCTATGACTTACCAGCTTATTTTTGTCTTTCTAGAGAAAAACTTCTTGAAATACCAGCGCTGCTGTGTGACCTCACCTCCCATTCATTCCTTAGCAAATTGCAGTCTGCTTCAGCCAAATCCTGCAGGCCACTGAAGCTGTCCTTATGAAGATAATGAATGCACCGGTACACCAGGTTCTAGTCCCGGTTGGAGCGCTGGATTCTGTTCCGGTTGCTCCTCTTCCGGTCCAGCTCTCTGCTGTGGCCTGGGAAGGCAGTGGAGGATGGCCCAAGTGCTTGGGCCCGGCACCCGCATGGGAAGCAGGAGGAAGCACCTGGCTCCTGGCTTTGGATCGGCGCAGCGCCAGCTGGAGCAGCCATTTGGGGAGTGAACCAACAGAAAAAGAAGACCTTTCTCACTCTCTCTCTCTCTCACTCTCTAACTCTGCCATGTCCAAAAAAAAAAGATAATGAATGACCTCCTCACAGCCACCATGCAAGAAACGGAGATCTTTCCTTTTCTCCATTTCTCCTGGCCTTAGCCACTGCTTGGAATTTCTCTCTTGCCTTCTTCTTGCCTCCCATACCACTCCATTCTCTTGTTCTTTTTTTCTTTATTTATTGATTTGAGTGCAGACACAGAGAGAGATCTTCCGTCCATTGGTTCACTCCCCAGATGCCTACAACAGCTGGGGCTGGGCCAGCATAAAACCAGGAGCCAGGAGCTCCATCCAGGTGGGTAGCAGGAACTCAATCACTTGAGCCATTATCAGAGGCAGGGAGCTGGACCAGAAGGAGTGTAGCCAGGACTCCAACGGGCACTGCAGTATGGGATGCAGTGTGGTGCCTTAACCTGCTGTGCCACAACATTAACCTCCCTTCTATAGTTCTGTAACTGCCTCCTCTTTGTACCAACCACCACTGGTGTTTCCCAGTTCGCTTACTCCTGCCTTTCTCCTTTTCTATACCTGTTGCTTTCCTGAATGGTTTCTTCCACACCCAGCACATGAACTTCACTGTAGCACTTGAACTTCACTATTTATGTCCTAATGACCTCTGAGTCAGCTGTCCTTTGTAATCCTAGGGGTGAACCTGAAGGGCATTATGCTAAGGGAAATCAGGCACAGAGAGACAAATACATACCACATCCCACTTACGTGTAGAATCTAAGAAATACCAACTCAGAATTTGAGAGCAGGGTGGCCGTCAGCAGGGGCCAGAGTAATGACACAGTGGGCTAAGCGGCTTCCCGTATCAGAGGCTGATCTGAGTCCCAGCTGCTCCAGTTCTGATCCAGCTTCCTGCTGATGCACCTGGGGAAGCAGTGGAGGGTGGCCTAACTGCTTGGGTCCCTGCTACCCACGTGGGAGGCCTAGATGAGATTCTAGGCTCCTGATTACAGCCTGGACCAGCCCCAGCAATTGCAGCTGTATGGGATGTAAATCAGTGGATGGAAGATCTCTCCCTGTCTCTCCCTCTCACTGTCATTCTGCCTTTCAAATAAATAATCTTTACAAAAAAAAAAAAAAAAAAAAAAAAACACAAAGTGGTAGTCATGAGAGGCTTGGCAGAACACTGGATGGAGAGAGGCAAGATGTTGATCAGAGCATACAAAGTTTCAGGTGAAAGGAAGAAGCAGCCTTTAGTGATCAATAGATCACATGGAATGGTGACTTTCATCAGAATTGCTAAAAGTAGATTGTAAATGTTTTCACCACAAATGAGTATGTAAGGCAATGGCTTTGTTATCAGCCTGACTTAATTCTTCCTCAGGTTCACACATGAGAACATGACTCTGCTGGGCTAAAGGGAGGCTGGGGAGACAACTCACGGCCTCGGATTTTGTTTTTTGTTGTTGTTTTCGTAGGTATTCTGGAATATGCGATGCTGGATGTACAAACCTTATAAATATACTAAAAATCACTTTCACACTTGAAAAGGGTAAGATCTATGATATTTATAGCTCAAAAAGAATTCCAATGGCATAATATTCTGTGATGGAATTTGTGGTGGAATGAGAAGGCCATGCCAAGATGGCCACAGGCAACGGAAACTGCCTGGCAACAGGCTGTGATTGGTTAGGGCATAGACCACCCCTTGACCAGATTGGCTGCCTTAGGCTCTATAAGCTGCTATACCAACTGAAATAAATGAGTCTTCCAGCTGCTCGCATCTGGCCTGCTTTCACCCACACCTGAGGTCTGTGTGGTGACTCCACACCTCTTGCCCCCACCACCATCCTCCTCTCAGAATGGATCCACAGCAACATCTGGCACCCAAGGAATTGTTATAAAAACGTGCTAGTGGTGGGCTTATTTTCATAGGCATTGGGTTTTTGTTTTTGTTTTTTTTTTTTTACAAAATTACATGTCTGTAACTTCTCTTTGTCTCACTGGGAGAAATATGATTTTGACATTGCCCGTGACACAAAGAAATGTATGGGAAGCAATATGTTACTACCACCGAAACCAAAAACTGCCAGTATTTTAGAGTCCTCGAAATTCTTCCCAAAGCCACTTCGTGTCCTCACTGACTCTATCCAGCCATCCTAATGCTTCCCCTGAATTCTAACTAACCCCTTGTACTTGGGGCAATCAAAGATGAAAATGTCTCTACTTTGGCTTTACTTTTGTAAAAAATTTATATTCATGCTCTATGAAAGGCAGACAGAGATGTCCCATCCATTGGTTCACTCCCTAAATGCCCACGACAGGCAGGCTGGGCCAGACTGAAGCCAGGAGCCCAGAACTCAATGCAGGCCTCCCACATGGTTGGCATTAATAGGAAGCTGGAATCAAAGGTGGAGCCAGGCTGTGGAGTAGTGGGTAAAGCTGCCGCCTGCAGTGCTGGCATTCTGTATGGGCGCTGGTTGGAGTCCCGGCTACTCCACTTGTGATCCAGCTCTCTGCTATGGCCTGGGAAAGCAGTAGAAGATGCTCCAAGTCCTTGGGTCCCTGTATTCATGTGGGAGACCCAGAAGAAGCTCCTGGCTCCTGGCTCCTGGCTTCAGATTGGCCCAGCTCTGGCCGTTGTAGCCATCTGGGAGTGAACCAGCAGATGGAAGACCTCTCTCTCTCTCTCTCTCTCTGTGCCTCTGCCACTGCTTCTGCCTCTCTGTAACTCTCAAATAAATACATTTTTTGAAAAAGTCTTAAGAAACAAAAGTAGAGCCAGGCCTTGATCCCAGGCACTCAGATATGGGACACAGCCCCTGGTGGCAACTTAACCACCATACTAAGTGCCTATCCCCAGAATTTCCACTTTGGCTGTGGTGTTGGCCAAGTTCACACTGTTGAAATGCTGGGTCCCTAAGGAAAGACTGTCAATTTTTAATTCTGTTTGTTAGAGAGGTGGGAGTGGGGGCAGAAGCTGGAGGAGAACTCAACCGGCGCTCCCGTGTGGGTGGCACTTGAAATGTGCCTGCTGCCTCCCAGGAGCCATGTCAGCATGAAGTGGAGTCAGGAATGAAACCCACTCGCTCTAATACGGGACATGGGTGTGTCTTAGCCACGGGCTTCTCATCTGCCTGAGCGCCAGTTCCGAGAGGGCTAAGCAAGAGCACCAGGTTAGGGGTAAAGACGAGGAAGAACTGGCCTGGGGAATGGCGTGGAGTCCTTAAGCAAAAACTTGGGCGAAACTTCAGCAGGGAGATCGGATCTGGGACAGATGGGAGGACAGAGGTGCAGGCCACCCACCTGCAGCTGAGCTCCAGGGAGAGGGGACAGCCCTTGGTCAGAGAAGCCAGCCCCTTCTCAGGGGGGAGGGCGCCAGAGAGGCACACCTGGGGCTCGGCGGTGTGCCCCCGCTGAGCCTTCCCTTCAGAACTCCTGTTTGGACAGACATTCTCATGAGCTAACCCCGAAAAGAGTTGGTACAAACCAGCGTCTCCTCTCCTTGTGATGTACGGAAGAGCCCAGGATTCTCAACACCTGTCTCCCTCGTGCTCCCACTCTTAGCAGCAGGTAGCCAGAGCTGAGATTCACACCGCCCTCCAAGAGTGGGTCCCGCCTGCACACACCCACATGCACACCAGCTTTAGCCATGTCCTTTTATTGAGCCATTTGTATGGGAATAGTGATCAGGGAGTTGTCACACCCCACCACGGGGCCCTGCCACGGAGGAGGTGGGCTCAGCAGTTTCTGGGGTAGTTGTCCCAGTGCAGGCCAATGGCGTTGATGAATAAGCCAGCTCGGCCACTGATGAATCGGAGCACGGTGTTTGGGTGCAAGGGGACAGCGTTGAAGCTCGTGCCTGTGTCTTTCCCAAAGGACAAGTAGCGACCCTTGTCGGTCACAAAGACCAGCTTCCTCAGATAGTACTTGTACTTCCCAGACACCTGGATCACCGACTCCCCTGGGTGCAGAAAGATCTCCTCCAGGTCTCCCAGCTTGCCACCCACGTAGTCGCTCCACACCTTGCCATAGCGCACCTGGAGACTGGGGACGGGTGGGAGGGCAGGAACGGGGACACTGATTAGGTCATCAGAGTTCAGGACCGTTTGGCCTGCACGTGGAGTCCTCCAAACTGGACACTAGCATGAGCAGTCCCTGCTAGTTCCCCCAAAAGTGTAGGCTGGGTGAGCCCTGGAGGACCACACAAAGAACTTCAGCTCCTGGCTTGGCTGACAGCAGGTGCAGAGAAGGAAGGCAGCTTGCCCAGAGTCGCCCACACACAGCACATGGCAGGCCTTGAATTTGGAGTCCAGCCTCCTACGATGCCCCTCCCACATCCCGCACTTGTGGAAGCAAAGGGATTTTCTAACAGCTGAGTGGCTCCCTTGTGGGAGAGGGAAGAGGCTTGTGTGCTGTCCCAGTAGGCAGATCCAGGATCAGCGGACACACTTTGGCTCTGCACATGTTAGAAAATTTTTTTTTCACAAGCACAGTGTACAGTGATTAGAGAGACAAAGAGAACGGTCTTCCTTTTCCGTTGGTTCACCCTCCAGTGGCCAGTACACCCGGTTCGCTGCGGCGGGCAAACCGCACTGATCCGAAGCCAGGAGCCCGGTGCTTCCTCTGGTCTCCCATGCGGGAGCAGGACCCAAGGACTTGGGCCATCCTCCACTGCACTGTCGTGCCAAGGCAGAGAGCTGAACTGGAAGAGGAGCAACCGGGACAGAATCCGACACCCAAAATGGGACTAGAACCTGGTGTCCCGGCGCCGCTTGAGGAGATTAGCCTCTTGAGCAGGGGTGCTGGCCTGTATGTGATAGAAATTTCCAATTGGCATTCGAGTGGGGATTGCTCAAGAGAGGCGTTGAGCAAAGTTGCAGGGCACCCAGCAGGGATATTGGAAAGAAACTTTAAACCGCAGAAGGTGGGGTGGGCTGGGCTGGTCGACTTCCAGGCCCCTGAGAGTTAGTGGTTATTAACAATTTGCCACCATCAGGCACGTTCGGGAAAGGAGGAGTTCAAAGGGCACAGATCTAGAAGCCGAGTCCTCTCACAGTATCCCCATATCCTGCCTCACTAGGGACCAACAGGTTGAGCCACAGGTGGTCCAGAGTGAAAGAGCACTTCCTGAGTTCTAAGACCTTGGAGGAACACAGAAGAGCCTTACCCCACGATATAGAGGCTGTTGACCCGGACACGGATGGCTGTGATGGGCCCTTCCAGCTGGTGGCCGGAGTGGGAGAATCGCTCTCCTCCTCCACTTCCGTACTCGCCATTGTAGGAGGAGGACCTGGCCTGGACTGCAGTGGAAAGAAAGGGGGGCTTGGAGGCAAGGACCTCCCAGTTCCCACCGCTCAGGGTCAGCCCTGCAAGCCTTGGCTACCAGCCAAGCAGGGGACCCTTCCCGCCACCCGCCACCAGAGTCCCAGCGGCTCACTTACTGGCACTGGCAGAGGCCGAGGCACAGAGAAGGCCCAGGAGCATGAAGGTCCACATCGCCAGGCTGCAGGGGGAAAGAAGAGAGCAGAGGGGGAGGTTTCCCCCTTTCCCTCTGGCCTCCGGGTGGCCTGACCCTTCAGCTCCCACCTAGCCAGACCCAGGCTCAAGGTGCACAGCACTGTCCACAGCCTGCAGTGCATCCTCCAGACCTGATGTTCCAGGGGCCAACTGTCTCTGGCCCGCCCTTGGTCTGGCTGTAGCCACGCCCTCCTTTTCCCCTCCAAGCAGAAGGTCAGCGCTCACTCTGTGTCTCCTGACACAGCCAGGACGGGGACTTTCTGAATTAGGACTGGAGGATAGGCCTCAGCCTGGAGACGGCTGAATTTCCTGTACCCAGCATCAGAGCCAACACTGACAAGCTGGCCGCTGGAGTGCAGTAGGTGAGTCCTCCGCCCCTGGAGCCACCATCCCATATGGGCACCGGTTCAAGTCCCGTCTGCTCCACTTCCGATCCAGCTCTCTGCTAGTGCCCTGGGAAGGCGGTGGAAGATGGCCCAAGCACTTGGGACTCTACACCCCCTTGGGAGACTAGGAAGAAGCTCAAGCTCCTGGCTTCGGATCGACCCGACTCTGGCCATTGTGGCCATGTGGGGGAGTGAACCAGCAGATGGGATCTTTGTCACGATTCTTTGTCCACCGACACACGCCTGGCCTTTCCCAGTCACCTGAGTGTCCCAGGTTCCTAGTCCTTCAACTGACAGCTGACACATCTCTGCACCCAAGATAGCTTCAACCCAGGTGCCCACTTCACTAACACTCCCTGCCACTCAATCCAGGCATCCCCTTCCCCAGACCAGATCAGATCTGAATCCCCACCCCCTCAAAGGCAGACCCAGGAATCCCTAACACCTCTCACCTGGGAGCTTCAGGTGCAAGGTAACCCCTAAGAACCTTCCAGAACTTTTATACCAGCTCCAAGCCCTCCCTCCTGCTCTTTATCAAGGGAACCTCACCTCCTGAGCAAACAAGGTCAACCTCTTGCGATCAGGTGTTGGGCAGGGTCTGTCCCTCCCGGAAAGCTTAGGGATGACAAGGTGGGGTCCGCTCGGCTGAGTGCCAGAGCCCAGGAGGGCATGACAGCTTGAGACATGGTCACCACAGCTTTCGATTAACTTATTTTATTTATTCAGTGTGGCAAGGGAGAGAGAGAGAGAGAGAGAAGGATAAGTCTTCATCCACTGCTTCACTCCCCACATGGTCACAATGGCCAGAACTGAGCTGATCTGATGGATCGCTATGGAAGTTCCCCTATCTGGGGAGTGAACCCTCACATGGAAGACCTCTCTCTCTCTCTCTCTCTCTCTCTCACTCACTCTGCCTCTTCTTCTCTGTCTGTGTAAATCTGACCTTCAAATAAATAAATAAATCTTAAAAAAAGAATTTTTCCCTCTCTTTTCTGATATTTTGATACAAAAAAAAAAAAAAAAAAAGAAAAAAAAGACTGAAAAACAACCAGGCAGTAAAGTTAAAGAATGGTATGGCAAACACCCGTACAACCATATACCACTTTATGGATTCTATCACATCATGGGGACTATCTTGTACCTTAGCAAGTCTAGCCAGCCAGCCAGCCTCAACCTGCCAGCCCCTTCTCAAACCATCTGTCTCTGAGAAGGGTGACTTGGGCTGCAAGTTGCCCCCCTCCCAAGAGATGTCCTTCCAGGGAGCATGAGGCAAGCTGAGGCGCTGAGGGGGTGCAGGTGCTCCTTGGGGCAGGGTGGGGCTGGGCCCTGCCCCTGACTTTCAGACACCATGGCAGAAAGGTCCTGGAGCTGTTGCCCACCCTCGGGTCTGAGACTTCAGAGTGGGTGTCAGACTCATTCTGCCCCGCGAGGGTGGATCTTTCGGCCACCTCAAGCCCCGAGTTCTATTGTCTGGCGTCTCCAGGACTGGCCCCTGTGACCCCTCTGAGTCAGCAGGTCTTCCAGAAGACAGAAGCATGGAGGCCAGGGAGGGGCTGGAGTAAGTAGCATCTCTTATCAGTTTCTCCAGACCTGTAGCTTAGAGCATCCCACCCCACCCTCCCGCTGGCTCACCATCTGGCACTGGGGGCTCAGCCCAGATGGCAAAGGGAGTCCCGCCCTCCAGAGCCGGAAGTAGGGCGGCACACTTCCTGGAGCACAGGTGCACCCAGGCCAGGAACGCCAAGGTGTCTCCTCTCTTCTCGGCCTTCAGGTAACCTTTGACGGAACTGTCACCTCACCCAGCCACTTGGCTTGGCCATGTCCCTTGTCCTCTGTCTGCCTTTCTCTGCTGATTCTCTCCCTTGATACCTGCAGGAAACGCCCAGGACCCTTAAGACAGAGGCCCTGAAGGGGTCCCAGGGCCCGCCCCGTCCTTTCCAGGAGTCCACATTTGCCCTATGTAGTGACTGAAGCACCAGCGCAGAGCGGGAAGGCGGTGGAACACCATGCTCCACCTGTCGATCTGTTCACAGTGGTATTTGTAACACTATTTGTTTAGGGGCCAGTGTTGTGGTGTTGTGGGTAAAGCTGCTGGCGACAATGCCAGCACCCCGTGTATGGGCACCAGTTCGTGTCCCGGCTGCTCCACTTCCAACCCAGCTCCTTACTAATGCGCCTGGGAAGGCAGCAGAAGATGGCCCAAGTGCTTGGACCCCAGCTCCCATGTGGGAGACCCGGATGAAGCTCCTGGATCCTGGCTTTGGCCTGGTCCAGCCCTGTCCATTGTGACCATCTGGGAAGTGAAGCCAGGAATGGAAGATCTTTCTCTCTTTTCTCTCTGCCACTCTTTCAAATAATACATAAATATATTTTTTAATGGCCACCACATTGAGGATGGGACAGCCCAAAGCCAGGAGCCAGGCTTCTCTCTTAGGGTCTTGGACATGGGTGACAGGGTCCCAAATATTTGTTCCCTTGTCTGCTACCTTCCGAGGCGTGTTCGAGGGAATTAGATGGGAAGCAGGTAGCTAGGACTCGAACCAGCACTTCAACTTACAGGATGCACTGCTAGAATCCAAAAGTTCTACTTTTGAAATTTATGTTTATTAAAAAAGCTTTCTATAAAAAATAATAAAAAGTAAAAATGAAATAAGTTATAGGATTCTGGTGTAGCAGGTAGGCAGTTTAACCCGCTGTGCCACAATGCCGGTCCTCTCTTTGGCAATTTAAAAACGTGTTTATCATTTTCTTCTCCTTGAAAGGTAGAGTGACAGGGAGAGAGAGAGAGATGGGGATCTTCCATCCACGGTTTCGCTCTCCACGTGCCC